GCTGTGATTACTTCGGTCTCCATCCAAAGCAAGAAGAAGCTAGATGTGGCGACAATCTAAGTATCATGAATGGAGCATTGGGGATTTGCCTCCAAGGCGCCCATCCAGATCTGATCGAAGAAACAAGATATGACACCAATCTCGCAAAGAAGATACACGATGTTAACGTGAAAGTGGAGACATACAAGACACGCTTGGACTCACATCCAGAGTTCCATCCCAATCATACCAGAGAATGTTCTGTTAATGTATCGAGTTCCTATAGTCACCGAAAGGACGAAAGCCAGATTGACAATTTTATACAAGGAGAAGAACTTGCCACCGAAATTTCTCCACAATGTGGTGGATGTCGCTGTAATAAGTGCCCTACTGTCGGACACACTTACTCTTTCAAGGAAGAACAGGAATTAAAACTGATTCAAGAAAACCTCGAGTACGACGAAGTTAACCAATGCTGGATAACCAGTTATCCCTGGCTCGTAGATCCACAAAGTTTACCCGACAATTATCACACAGCACTTGCTACGTTAGAAAGAACTGAAAGAACGCTTAAGAAAGATGACCAATGGGCTAAGACGTACAAGAGCCAAATGGACGATATGGTCGATCGTTGTGTAGCAAGAAAACTAGCATCCGAAGAAGTAAAGAGCTGGACTGGCCCGGTGTTCTATATCTCCCATTTAGCAGTTGTAAACCCGCATTCCAATTCTACGCCCGTGAGAATTGTGTTCAACTCCAGCCAAACGCACAAAGGTGTTTCATTAAATGCTTGTCTCGCAAAAGGTCCAGACAGCTACATGAACAACTTGGTTGGTATTCTTCTACGTTGGAGAGAAGAAAGAGTAGCGCTAATCGGAGATATTCGAAAGATGTTCAACTCGGTTTATTTGAAGGCCTTGGAACAGCATTGCCACCGTTTCCTATGGCGAGATTTACAGCAGCATCGCCCACCGGACATTTACGTTATACAACGAGTCAATATGGGCGATACACCAGCCCCCGCCATCAGCACAGAAGCTGTCTACAAGACCGCGGAGTTGTATCGAGAGGATAGTCCACAAGCCGCAAATCTCCTAAAACATTCCAGTTACGTGGATGATTTGATTGACTCACGTCCAAGTAAACCCGACGCGTTAAAGATTGCCAAGGAAGCCGAGGATATTCTTGCCAAAGGAGGATTTGCTGTAAAGTGCTGGCAATTTAGTGGCGAAACACAACCTCGCGTAAAAGAAGAGTTGTTAAAATTGGACCTGCCAGAAAAGAGTGTTGAAAGCTCAGACCAAGGACTAATAATGTTAAAAGGAACTGACGAAAACTTACGAGTGCTCGGTCTGGGATGGAATCCGAAGCAAGACACCATCACCTATGAAGTAACTTTGAATTTCAGTAGCAAGAGACGCGGAGTTCGAACCGGTCCAAACCTGCTAGAAAGCGACCTACCAAGTGCATTACCGAATGTGTTAACCAGACGAATCGTTCTTGAGCAAGTAATGAAGATTTATGACCCACTCGGACTAATTTCTCCATTTACATTGATGGCCAAGATATACTTACGCGAAACCTGGTCCCGCAAGCTCGGATGGGATGACCCACTTCCAGCAGAACTTTGCAAGCTACGAGAAGCAAAGTTCCTCGAGCAGCAAATGGGACAATTACCGGAAGCAAGATTGAAACCATCTCCAGCTTTCAACCACGTTATGATAGACCTTTTCGGACCCTACTCGGTTCGTGGAGAAGTACAGAAAAGAACAAGTGGTAAAGCGTACGGAGTAATCTTCACAGATCTAGTTATGAGAGCAGTCCACATTGAAGCTGTGTTCGGGTACGATACCGAATCATTCCTAATGGCCCTCAGCAGATTCGTCAGCGTTCGTGGTTGGCCCGAAATCATATATAGTGATCCCGGATCACAACTAATTGGTGCGGAAAGAGAACTCACGGAAACCTGGAAGAGCATTGACCGACAATCCCTACATAAAAGTGGCACAGAGAATGGATTGACCTGGATCTTCGGCCCCGCTGATAGTCCTTGGTACCAAGGAGCTGTAGAATCCCTGGTGAAGAGTGCCAAGAGAGCTATTCATTTCGCAATCAATAACCAACGTCTTTCAGTCCAAGAGTTCATGACGGTGTGTAGCGAAGCCACGAACCTCCTCAATGAAAGACCTATCGGAACCCTCCCGAGCGCTGATTCCGAATTAAACATCCTTACTCCCAACAGCTTGTTACTGGGCAGAGCAACCGCGAAGAATCCTGGTGGATGGCAGCCTAACGGTAATAATCCAGGAAAGCGTTATCATGTTGTCCAGATCGTGACAGACGAGTTCTGGAAGAAATGGACGGAGTTATACGCCCCAACCTTGGTTATTCGTCGCAAGTGGAATACAGCCAACCGTAACCTGCGCCCAGGAGATGTTGTAATCATCGCCGACCGTAATACCTTGCGAGGAGATTACCGTTTAGGTATAGTACAAGAAGTGTTTCCCAGTCAAGACGGAAAAGTTCGTCGAGTAAATGTGATGTACAAGAATTTTCAAATTGGAGAAAAGGTACAAAAATACAAAGGACATAACGAGGCTGTCATTGTGTCACGAAGTGCTCAGCGATTATCGTTATTAGTACCAGTGGATATGGATCAAGACCAGGAAACCAAGTCGGAAGCAAAAGAGAGTGTATGAATGGACAGTGACATTATATAGTATTGAGTGAACAATGCATTAGAGAAATTTACATTCAGATTTTAAGACGCGATCGCATCGACCCCAGTCCTTCCGGTGTATTGGGTTGTAGTAAAGTTGTAGACAATAATCTCTGCGATCGCCTTTTGAACGATGTTTTTTACGTTTTGTTAGAGCATGCGCATAGGAGCTAATATGGCGTGCGAAGGAAAACAGTGTTTTACCTAATTACTATTTTGTAATTTTCCATATATTTTATAATTAAAGTGAGTTGAAACCTGTTTTTCGCCTCATTTACTGGCAATCCCAGTACAGTAAAACACCCCCCAATACCCCCTCGCTACGGCCCTGGTAGGGAGCCTCCTTAATTAAGCTAGTCTGCATCCCACACTTCCAAGTGATTGTTGCCCTTGGCGTGGCGGTAAAGTGTGTCCTTGTCAAAATCTTTATTTTAATGCCTGGCACCTTCGTTCACCCAACGTAAGCAAGAACTTCGAGTGCATTATTTGCATTGTACACGGTCACGATTAGTTCATTTTAGTAATTGTACCAGCCGTCTTTGTTTTCACCATCGGTACTCAGTGACGCTCTCTTATCCACAGACGCTTACCGTGGATTGGAAGCACCTTCCTTCACCTACCTCCTCCGCAGGCCTTTCAAAAAAATAAAATTGGTGGGAAACGAACGGAAAGGCCTGCGGACTAATTTTCCAAAATGGCGCGAGCCACAAACCAAATTATATTTAATATATCATTTTACCAGAACAATATAGACCGCTTTTCGTATCTGCAATATACATAGAAACAGTGAACACTGAACAAACAAGCATATATAATGATTTATAAAGAGAAGCAGATAAATATCAGTTTATAATTTGCATATTACAAACACGCAGCGCTTTTATGTAACACGTCGTATGTCAGGCATGCGGCCGTTTATCCACGAAATTTATTCCATAAATATTTGTCTTTTATACAGAGTAACTATTTAAATGCGTGTGTATATAGTCAAAACATCCCATTTGGCCAAATGATAGATTCACAACGTCTATTATCACTGTCGCTTGTGAAAAATGGGAAATTGATGACAGATGGTAAAAGTGGTGATGCAATATTTCCCGTTGTGGTCGTAAAGGTTGATGGAATCACCTGTCGCGCGCTTGTCCGGGGCTGGCAGTTCATACGCGTCGGCGAAGCTCATCGATCTCCTGAAAAAGAAACCGAGTGCGACGAAGATCCAGCGTATCGACATGCTGATGAGCTCGCGAGAAACGAGAATTGAGTCATATGACGTGGTGATCGGGTCCGTGGATGACAGTTACGAAATGGAAGTACGTGTGACAAAAGTCAACAAGGGTGAACTGTTGAGGATTGATAACCCAAGATATGAACAGTTGATACGAAAGCATCAGCACCTGAAACAAGTCGAGATCGCAGACCATGATTCGAAACAGCAACTCCCGATTCACATGATATTGGGAAGTGGAGAATACGCTCGAATTAAAACCGGAACTGTACCACTTGTCGGTGAGGACGGTGACCCAGTAGCTGAATTGACCAAACTTGGGTGGTTCGTGATGAGCCCGGGGGCTGATTTTGACAAAACCACTGTTCCGATGACACAAACCTCTCAGAGTGACTACAAGAACCTCTGTCGTCTGGACGTGCTAGAGATTGCAGACAGCGGAGAAAATGATCAAGAGATGGTCTATCAAGATTTCAAAGAGCAACTTGGAAGAAGCCCAGACGGATGGTATGAAGCGAACCTTCCTTGGAAGCCACATCACGCCTTGTCAGCGACGAACGAGCAAGGAAGTCGAAGGAGATTGGAACAACTTATGAAGAAGTTGCGACGCGAAGGGAATTACGACAGCTACGACCAGATAATTCAAGACCAATTACAGCAGGGTGTGATTGAACTGGCACCTGACGAACCGAGTAAAAAGGAGTTTTATCTTCCACATAAAGCGGTTGTCAAGCGAGAAGCGGAATCGACAAAACTCCGGATAGTGTATGATGCCTCAGCGAAGGAGTCCAACCACCACCCATCACTCAACGATTGTCTCTACCCTGGTCCCCCCTTGCAAAACCTCCTCTGGAGTATCCTGGTCAGGTCGAGATTTTATCCCGTGCTACTCACTGGCGTCTTGGAAAAGGCTTTTCTACAGGTCCGGATCAAAGAAGAAGATAGGGATGTTCTGAGGTTCTTTTGGAGATCACCCAGTCAAGATAAGACAGTGATATATCGGTTTACGAGAGCACTCTTCGGTCTTACCTGTTCTCCATTCCTACTAGGGGGAGTGATCAGCCATCATCTCAAGTGCGTGGGAACTGGAGTATCCAGACGTAGTGAAAGAGATACGGGACGGCCTATACGTAGACGACCTGATGGTTGGAGGCTCCAACGTCGAGGAGGTCGCAGAGAAGAAAGCAACAACAACCGAGGTGTTTGAGGACGCAACTTTTGCCTTGCATAAGTGGCATTCAAATAGGGAAGAGCTCGAAAACGACAACGCTAAATCAACCAGTGACGTGGGACCAACATACGCAAAGCAACAACTACGATCGAACTCATCCAAGGCCAAACCATTGGGCCTGCCGTGGGACAAGAACGAGGACACCCTGAGAAACCAGCTTCAACAAAGAGAGGTGTTCTCTCGGCTTTAGCAAAGATATACGACCCCTTTGGTATAGTGTCACCAACGACGCTTCAGGGAAAGATAATGTATCGAGAGATTTGCGAGTCCAACATCGCCTGGGATGGGGAGTTCCCAAAGTCGTTGAAGAAACGTTGGGATAACTGGTCTGCTACTCTTCCTGAACATGTCACAATTCCGCGAACACTAGCTCCATACCTACAACCAATAAAGGAAGTGACGCTTCACGCCTTTGGTGATGCCAGTAAAGATGGTGTATCAGCGAATGTCTACGCCGTGGTCGAGCAAGAGTAGGGGACGACACAAGGACTTGTGTGCGTAAGATCCCGCCTCGCGAAACGGAACCTGACAATCCCGCGACTGGAGTTGGTCTAGGGCCACATGGCAGTAAACCTTGCGACCAATGTCAGAACGGCACTTACTATTCATCCACCACCAATCATTCACTGCTGGTTAAATTCAAGCGTGGCGTCGTATTGGATCAAAGGCCAGGGAGAATTCCGACAGTTCGTATCTAACCGAGTACACAAGATCCAGCAACATCGCGATGTTAAGTGGCACTACGTGCCGACGACCGAAAACCCGGCGGACCTAGGGAGTCGCGGAGGAAGCGTTGTGAGCCATACGTTGTGGAGCAAGGGCCACCCCCTGGTTAAGCGAAGCAGCAAAGTGGCCATCCGATATCGTTCTGAAAGCTTCCAGAGAGTGACCATCAGAAGTGTTCTCGCCATGGCAGTTCGTGTTCGAGACGATTTTGACAAGGTATTGGAGTCCCACGCGATGCGCAAATTACACAGAATCGGAGCATATGGGTACGGAGATTTATTCAAAATTGCCGACAGCTACGTAAGAACCGAAAGTTTGGACCACTGGACACCACGGAAATCGAGCAGCAAAAGATCTGGTGGATCAAGCGAACTCAGCAAGATGCTCAGAACAGTGC